ATTCCGAGAGCTATCGGGGCTCGACAAAATCCAAAAAGAGACTCAAAAGAACATTTTAAAAAGAACGAAGCACATTCCCGCGCGATGTCCACGCCGAAAAGACCGAAATCGAACGGAAGAAACGACGTCAACATTTATTAGTCGCGCGAGCGGTGGTGCGCCAGCCATCAACCGACCAATCAATCAACCGGCCGTCCCCAAACACACCCAGCTCCGAACCCAGCCATATGAAAARAAGCGATGAAAAAGACGCAAAAGAAAGGGCACTGATGCAATTTTCCACCGATCCCGATCTCCCGTGATTGGCCCAACCTTCCCAGCTTAGGACACCTCGTTGCAACCACGCAGAAAATCGCACGTTACAGAAAGTGGTTCGTCACATATGTGACGCCCAGGGGGTTCCAATATTAGCAAGCTCCTGCTTGCTTGTTGACACGTGTCGATTTCTCTAATCGATCGACACGTGGAGCACTTCTCTCTATGCCACTTACCGTTCAATTGCGTGTGGACGTCGTCCAACGTGGCAATATTGCTCTTCTACTAATTCCTCAGATTGGGCTCTCGACGATCCAAGGACGGGATCTTTCTCGTGTCGTCGCCGAGACACGCGTCAATTACCGCTGCATCAGTAATTAACCGGGAGGGGGAGAGGAACGCGATACCCGTATGAGGGAGGGCGAGGCGGCTCCATCGTAAGTTCCGGTATGAAGCGCCCGATCGCGGTGAGGTCGTGGGAAAGGTCTTGAAAGCAGACAATGCCATGGAAGCGGGGGAATTGCTGTCCGGTGCGGGGAAGGGAAGCGAGGTAGTCTGGGTAAAGGGAGACGAGGGTTCGGAGGACGTCGGTGCGAAACCGATCATGGTCTTCGCACTCGGGGAATGTCCCCGTGACGATGCAGTAAACTTCTATGTGGTTACGGCCTCGCCACGCGGCGCTAAGGAGTAGAACGTGGAGGGGGTAATCGGGGGCGGCGCACCGAACGGAAGGGTGGGGATGGACAGTCAGCTCTAGGCGGGCGGAGTAGAAATGTCGGAAGGTGGCGATGGGGAAGGGATTACGGGGGAAGACGACGCGATGAAGATACTGATTAAAAGAGCAACGGCTAAGGGGACGATGGTATATGGATCAGGGACGAAGGGCGAAGCCCCTCATCGACACGTTGACGAATTGGGGGACGGGTGGAGGCGGAGGGGGATGAGGATCGGGATCGGGGTCGGTGCCTTGTCGTCATGGCGCTCGAGGTCGTGGCAGCAAGGTCCCCTTGTTCCGGCTTGGGCGGCTCGGGATCCTTGGAAGGATCGTTCGGTGTGGGGTCGATCACTGGCCGTTTTCCCTCCGCGACCTCCTTCTTGTGTTGCGCAGCGGCCTCAGGATTCTCCTCTCGACGATCTGGTTTCGGCACCCACTCGAGTTCGTCGTCGTGCGCTAGCTCCCGATCGTTTTCTCCGCTTTCCACTCCCTCGTCATCGTCTTTGTCCTCCTCTTCCTCACTTTGCTCCCCCTCACCGTGCTCGTTATAGGCTTCCTCTTCTTCTTCTGAAATCTCCCCCTCTGGTTCTTCTTCTTCTTCGTCCTCGGCTTCCGCCGCTTCTTCTTCTACTTCGCGTTCCTCTTCCTCGTCCTCGGCCAACCGGGCCGCTGGTTCTCCGGCCTCTCTTCTTAATTCTCCTTCCGATTCTTCTTCTGCTTCTTCCTCTGCTCTCAGTGTTGCCCAGTCGAACGCCGTTGGTTGCCAAAAAAAGAGGGTGTTAGTTAGGCTGTGGACGTCCAGCTCCTCGATACAAGCCGACCACTGGAGGCTCGAGGCGAGAGTCCTTGAGAGGACATGCGACATGGGTTCTTCGTTGCTCTGAGAGACGATATCGTGGGGGAGCTCGTCAGCCAGCCGCGCGATCCCGATCGTAAGTTCGCGTACGATCTGTGATCGGTATCCCCGATCCACAGCTCCAAAGACGAATCCCAGAAGGTCTCTCGGGCCACGTTAGTTCCCCACGCCTGAATGACGAGCAACTCCACAATTTCTGACGAGGGCCTCTGATCGCCTTCCCACATCCAGTTCAGGTCCCCTCGGAGCAGGCACAACGAGAGCTCAACGAACTCTGCATGCCACAGCCTCCAACGATCCAGATCAACGATGGGTATTGCCGGAGGATGTGAGGGAGGGAGGGGAAAACGTCGAGATTGGCGCGCGGCTCATCTGCGCGGCGAGAAGGGGGCAAGCTCAGGGAGGACGACAGGTGGCTCGCGCAGCGTGTTAACCTCGATGCCGTCGACAGGATAGCACTCGTCACCGTGCCTTGTGAGCCGTCGATCCCAATCAGTGGCCAGATCACGACCCCACTTGTACAAGGTGCTCTTCATGGCGGCTTGCCGCGCCGGATCGAAGGTGGTGATGTCGCCGCTAAAGACTACCACGGTAGACACGTGGCTAATACCCGGAGCAGTTTGCCGTTGGAACTCCGTTGCCTCGGCCAGCACCACCACCTTGGGATCGCTCGTGAACCGCAACTCTGCCCCGCCGTACACACCCGAGGTGCAGAAGAACTGCTCAAGGCGCAAGAAGTCGGGGCTGATCCGCGGATGATGCACTTGGCGGATGGCTGAGATCTCTCCCCGTGGCATCAACAACTGATCACCGAAAGCCCGCTCGGTGGCGAAGCTCATGGCGATGGCGGACGTGACGGGGTGTTAGAGAAGGGGCAAGAGAAAGAGGGAGATGCCGGAGAGGTAAGATCGTTGCCGTCGGCTTCCTCTGAGGGGGAGGCCGATGAAGAGGGAGGTGGAGTCGAGGGGAGGAGGCGAAGATAGGACACGTGGCGTGTGATTGGACGGGCCGATCGACTGCCAGAGACCTCGGGGGCGAGACGCACGGTGTCCACGCAGTTAGGCCCGAGCTCGATCACCCGATATCGCCCAAAGAATCGTGGTGCTAGCTTACCCTGGAGAGCACATTTCCTTACCTGCACTACGTCTCCCAATTTGTACTGGGGCCGCGGACCCGCATTCCCATTTCGGGCCTCGTAGCTTCRGACCTGTCGGCCTTGGGCTAGTTCGGTCATTTTCTGACGTTTTCAGGCTARCCTGGGCAGTGACCGTTCCATTAGCTTTAGGTGTCGGTTGGCCTCGTCCCGAGCCGYGGCCCTGGTGGGTTGTCGGCTCAATGTAGACTCATCTGGGAGGCTTGGTATCGAAATGCAAGCGACGCTATTGGTCCTTAATTGGAAGGRGCTTAACCTCGTTGATTCGTGGGGCGTTCCACAGTGGACCGCCAGGATGTGATCGACGATATCGGGCCAGGGCCTTGGATCCCGTGCCGCAATATTTCATCGCAATRCTGTCTTTATCACCCGGTTAGCGTTCTCGACCAGCCCATTGGATTGTGACATGTGGGGTGCAGTGTTCCGTATGGCGACGCCATGTAGGACCAGATTCCTTAGCACCTCTCCCCTGAATTCAGCCMYGTTGTCGGTTAGGATCTCTTCCGTATCTTGATGCATCCCGAGGAAACGGTTGACGTATCGCGAGATTTCAGTAGCTTGCCGTGTGCGACAAGGATACGCCTCGATCCATTTTGAGAAATGGTCGACAAATGCCAATAGGACTGAATATTCGCAGCTATTAGGGCCAGGAGATACCACTATGTCGGTAGTATCCATGCTCACTCTTTGAAACGGTCGTTCAACTACCATGGGCACTATCGACCTTGGGGGTTGAATCTGCGCTTTATCTACGGCGCAGACTTGACAGTTGGCGACGATGTATTTCACATCGTCGCGGATATTGGACCAGTACCACTCATTTTTATCGATAGCGGACTCCGTGATTCGTACGGCAAAATAAGCCGCAGTTTCCTCGTGTGCCGTCTTAACCCAGTCATACCGCATGAATGGATGCGGCACAACCATCCAAATCCCACTGTCGTCTGTTTTTCGTTTTTCAAATCTGCCCTCTATCTATCTGTAATCCCGAGCCCTCTTGTTGGCCCTCCTCCGATCTTCCTTGGTGAAATCCTGGAGGGGGTTGCCAACCAAGGTGGCAATCAAGGCAATATCAGTCCATACCTCGACCCTTCTAAACTTTCGGGTCTTTTCCAACCCTTCTGACGTGGCATCCAAAAAGCGAGCCTCAGTCGGAATCTTGTCGGTCCGGCACAAGGGGCACAACCGTGGTTTACTATCGTTTTTGTATTGGATGCACGAGCCATGGGCTCGTGCGACACACTGTTGGCAATCTATCCAATCAACATACCCTTCCTCGTTAGGACACATGGAGACTGAGTATACGTGGGAGATAGCTTCGCAAGAATAGCAAAATTTGTCAAGCAGGGAGAGGAGAAACGAGGAGGAAAGGGGAGAGAGAGGGGTAGTGGGGTTACCTCCGTCACGCATCGCCACCGTTTTACTTCTTGCCACGTGGGAGGACTGCCACTTGTCCGTACATAGGCTCGTTGGTCAGGTTCGGCTCTTTCCACGGTGTAATTTCCTCGCCCTTTGGTACCTTGGCAGGTCRATGCARACGTGTCAACCCGTCCGCGTTGCCGTGTCGCTCCGTCTTTCGATGGACGATATCGAAGTCGTATTCTTGYAGTCGCACCGCCCAACGGCCAATCATGCCTGTGTAGTTGGTGAGCTTCTTCAAGCTAGCAGTGGCTCGTGATCCGTCACGAGGTGAAACTTATGTCCGTAGAGATACGGATGGAAGTGCTGGATTCCCCAGACCACTGCATAGCATTCGCCTTGAGGTGCTGAGTCATTCCTCCGTTCGTCCGGTACCGTGCGTCACGCGTATTCGATGACGTGTTCACGACCATCGATCCCCTTCTGGGCTAAAATAGCGGAGATAGCTTCCAGTTGCCAGTCCGTGATGAGAATGAACTGTTTCGAGGGGTCCGAYCGAATCAAAATAGGGGCCATTGCCAGAGCGTCCTTGAGGGTTGCGAAAGCCTGTTGGCACTCCGCGTCCCATCCGAGAGGCTCCTTCCTTAACARATTCGTTAATGGTCGTGCAATCGTGGCAAAGCCCTTGATGAAGCGCCAGTAGTACGATGCTAACCCYAAGAAAGCTCGAACCTGCGTCAGTGACGTGGGAACCGGGGCTTCTTTCATCGCCGCAACCTTTCTTGAGACCGGCCGTAGTCCTCCACGTGTCACGACGTAGCCCAAGAACGAAATTTTCGAGAGGAAAAAGTCGCTCTTCTCGAGCACAATCTTGAACCCAGCRTCTCTCAATGCGCCCAACGTCCATTCGATATGYTGYGCGTGCTCGTGATAGGTTTCCGAATAGACCAGGATATTGTCCATGTACATGATTACGCAGAAATTAATCATCCCTTGCGTCAGCCGTGTCTTGTTGTCGAAATTCTGGAACGTCATGTTCATCGCTCGCTGAAATGTGGCYGGCCCGTTGCAAATCCCCATCGGACACCGAACCCACTGCCACRTGCCTTCAAACAACACAAAGGCCRTTTTCGGCCGATCTTCCTCTTTAACCWGAATGTGATGAAAACCATGCCGAATATCAAACTTGCTGAAATAATTGGCACATCCAATCGCATCCAACAAATCATCAATCCGGGGGAGGGAATACACATCTTTGATCGTGATCTCATTCAGCTTGCAATAATCAATGCAAATGCGAATCGCTYCGTTTTTCTTGGGTACTATACTACGGGAAATGACCAAGGTCTGGTAGCGGGTTCAATCCAGCYGCTGGCTTCCAACTCCCGAATTCGTTCGAGAGCCTTTTTGCGTTCAATCAACAAAYACSGGTAAGGTTTGCAATGAATCGGGGAGTGATTTCCTGTCCGAATCTCATGTTGGATTACTAACGTGAAGCCGATCCCATTATCTGTCACACTAATCGCTCCTTGATATTCCGTTAGAATATCCGCAATCACCTGGTGGATTTCATTCGGTACGTACCGTGGAACGTGTAGCTCGAATAGTTGGTTCCTGATCGGAACGTCAATCTGTTTCATGCGCGCCTGTTTTGCCACATCGGGTGGACGCGCCGAGATGAACGAATGGTCCGATCGCCRGGAGAACACCGTGGCCATCATCTGGGCATCTTCTTYCCGGATTGCCACATGTCSTTCCGGGGTCACCCCGTCGCAAATATCTWGCCATAGTACGTTCTTAGTTGYGATCTTTATCCCCAGTTCGCCTGTTGCGGCTTCGAGACGCCCAGGGGGCTATAGAGAACTTGCTTCCGCCCCCAATCGTAACAACCTCACTTCCTTAGCCGATGTCAGTCAGGATTTGGGTAGATCTGTAATGTCACAGTAATGCCTCTTGTCGTTATACCRGGCGAGGAGAGGGGTGATTCCTTCGTACMGAGTCTGAGGGGGTTCCAAAAMATCGGCCATCCAYGAAATCTGCACGAGGGGCTCACCCAAGATCATCGCCTTGGTCGTCTGAATTATTTGGYTGGTCAGTTGCATCGTTCTTGGTATCGTTTTGGGCGGCGGGTAGTAAACGCGCTGTYGTGCTAATTTCAAGGTCTCTGGATCATCCTCATCGCTGCTGCCCGCATCCTGCATCGATGACCTTTTATCGRCGGMSTCATCCCAGGAGATCATGCGGAGGGCCCCTKCCATCAGCAGCGAAACCCGTGGGACCGTGTTAATGGTAGTACGAAGGGTCAATCGCATAGGCACAGCGTAGGGTTTTCATCCTGTATTTCGCAGGATAATCGACCTTCGTTCGAAATCCAAGTTTGCTCGTAGAGCCACAAGAGCGGGAAGCCCGAAAAGAACGTCGTACGTATTAACGTCTAGTACTACGACACCTCCAAGCGCGTGCACTTTTCCTAATCGGAAAGCGACATTGGTCATTCTTCCCACGGTCTTGATCTTTTCTTCATCTGCCGAAACGAGCTGATCTTTTTCAGTGAGCATGATCATATCGTTTTTCCTACCGGCCCTTTCGACCACTCTCAGTGAAATAGCCAGCACAACTGCTCCCGAATCTATAATTGCGTTGTAAGGAATTCCCCAAATTTCAATATCGCATTCTGCGGATTTCCACRGAATTGGTTYAATCCATARGAAATGGTCGYCTTTCTGGATTAGACCTACCCGTATCGGATCCGAAGTGTCGGTTGGGTTTTCGTCGGGCGTGGGGCTTTTGGCTTTTACGTTCGGTGTTCGGGCGATGGCGAATCGCTTTCGGTTTGCTTTGCAATGCTGTAACAATCGCTCATTGGCTTGCTCGGAGATCGAGAGTAGATGACCGATCGGAAGTTGCATCCGACGGTCCAAGGCTCGGATGATGTTTAATACATCGATTTCTCGTGTGACGAAGGTGGGTCCTCCCGACTCCATTTCTCCTAGAGACGGTTGCCACTCTGCCACCTCTTTTGGTTCTGGCGCTGGTCTGATTGTTTCGATCATTCCAAGCCAGGGATAACCAAGGGATACGTATTGGTCTAGCGGGATTAGCTCGGCGGCTTCTTCCGTGGTGGCCAGGGCACTTCCCCCACCCTCTACTTCTTCCATCAAAGCTCCGACTCGTGCAGGTCCGTTAGCGATGGGGGCCGCAGCCATGGGCTCGACTCCGATCCGCTGTTGTGGAGGTCGGTGGGGGCAATCACGGGCTAGATGTCCCGGCTGGTGACAGGCGTAACAGACATTCAGATTGTTCGCAGTTCCCCCGAGAGCAGGTGTCGGGGCTAATCCTCGCTGCATCGGTGGGGCGCGCACCACAATGGGCCGCATATTCCTCATCATGACTTCTAGCCGAGCATTGTGCTCTCGCTGCTCCTTTTTGCTTTCCTGGATTAAACTGATCAATGTTTTGGTTAGTTCCAAGATAGCCGCAGATTCGTTCGATCGTGCGGGGGCCTCAATCGGTGGTGGGGGTAATGCTCTGATGGCCGGGGGTATCATCGGAGCGGAGGTGCTCGGAATCTCACTTAGGACCACTCGTTTGGGGCCTATCTGTTCCATATAGGTGACAGGTCCTGACACAAATCCCATGTTTTCAAACTTGTTCTGCAAGGCAGCCAACTCAGCTCTCGCTCGTGTGAGTTTGGTCGAATCTCCTTCTTTAGGATAATCTTCTCCTCCCAGGAAGTTTGTTGCGAACTTCCATTCCATTTCCTCCGCAGCAGCCATGATTTGTTGTAACGTGTGAGTGATGGGGGAAAATTGCTTCCRCAACTTAGCCCTTATTGTCCGGCTGCGAAGCCCGTCAATGAACAGATGTCTCCCTACTTGCTCACCTCGCTCAGTTTTCACGAACATTGTATAGAACCGGTTTCGATATTCTGCAACGGATTCGAGAGGTTTTTGCACTCGGTCCTTGATCATGTACAGTGCTTGCTCGAGGTGGACATAATCAAATCGGTTCATGAAATCCCGTTCAAAGGTCAGGAGATCAACCCACACGTAGGTACTATACCAATGATGAGCGTATCCTCCCATTCGAGTCGGAATGTTGGTCTGTGCTTCGTTATCATCGTACGGCTGTGCTCTAAGTGTGGCCAGCCATGCTCCTGCGAGATGGTGCGCTGTATCAAATAGATAGAGATCAGGTGGTGTCATGGGAGCTCATGCACGTGGGGCGGGTTGATTTGGTGGATTAACATTCTGTTGCGGAATCGGGTTTTGCACATTGGCAGCCATATTGGCTGCTCGTCGGTTAGCCGATCTGCTTCGAGTGACGATAGRGTCGCGTCTATGCTCGTTCCGAGGGCGAGGTCGCCCATGGTTAGCCAGGTCGCCTAATTAACGTGCTATCAATCCTAAGACCCTAGCCACGTGTCAGGCTCCGATACCAACCTCACGCCCAACGCGACTTCCTGATCGGAGTGGAATGTGGGCCTGRAAGTGCAAAAAGGGGTGTGCCAAGGATTTTGGGAAAAAGTGGGGGAGTCTTAGGGGTATGAATGCAATTAGACAAGCAAGGGGCGTGTGGGACTCAAGGCCCGATGGGGCCGGGGTATTGTGGGCGGCAATTTACRGGGAAGTCCCTCCGCRGAGGAGGCGGTCCCGAAAAGTTGGGCCGTCAGGGGCCGCCACGTGGCGCAGGCCGCTGCGTATTTGGGTTGGGCCTTCGGAATTCCGGGGTTCTCAGCTCGCCGCTACGTCGGTAATTCCCGCAAGGCATGCTGGGCCAATAGGGGGMTATGGYCGGCCACGGAACGACGCTGAGTTGATGATACGGGAGAAGGAGGCGAAAAGGAGGGAAACTGGTGGTGATGACGACTTATCCCGGGTGGGTGAAGTAGTAGGTATGGTCGGGGGAAGGGAAATCAGAACATCCGGGGTCGCTTGTGGTGGCGCAGTGGAATTCCCGCGGACACAGTCGATTCTCCGTGTGACAGGGGTATCGCAGCCTTAGGAGTTCGTTTATCCAAGGGGTGAAGTAATCCGGGTCGTATGATGAGTCTGAGCTCCAAGATCGCGTCATGGTATCATCGTGTATGGGATAACTCTGGTCGGGTTATCGTCACCACACACGAGCACGTGTAGGACAKGCGAACTTAGTTGCGCCTCAGCGTGCTCGTACGGGATGATGGTTTCGCCGCGAATCTTTTTGGGTGGGCGGATCGACGCACGGGGATGCATGTAAACKCTCGATTCGGATCGTGTTTACACGTGTCTTCGCGCGGCGTTCGYAGGGCCCGACATCGGATTGTCTAATGGCTCCGTAGGTTTGGTTATGCGAGATGCAATCACAMCCTAACCCAAGCAACAACGAGAACAAAATCGCTATCGGGGCCAAGTTCTTATCCTCTCTACARCTGTATCAGGTGCAGGCGATGATTCGTTAGAAACAAAAGCAAGGACAAGGATTTTCAKCAAAAGATAGACAAGCAGGCATAGCATCCATACATCCATACATTCAGTAATCATACCCCTAATGCAATCGAGACGGAAATCGCAAAGACAAGTGTGAGCAAAAACCCAAGTCCAGATTCCAGAAAGCCGAGAAGAAAAACAAGAACGGGCAACCGCCCGGAGCCGCAATCAAAATGTTATGTACACAGATGAAGAGGGGGAAGAGACAAAGAAACAGCAAACCCGCGTCCATCAACCTCAACTCTCTCTCCTCCTCTTCTCTCTCTTCTCCGATGCGGACAGTCCGTCGTYACGCACCAACCCACGAAGTCGTCACCCCGCTTAGTCCTCCCGCACCCGTCGGATTCGCCCGTGCCCACAGTCCATCGTGGCCTACGTCAATCCCGCGCGTTCGGCACCAGCCCGTCGGGTCGCCCAACTCCTACTCTACTCACCTCTTACTTCGCTCGTATGCCGACTCTTCTTGATCTCGCCACCCVGAGCTTCCAACAAGGGGTTAAGAGAGCTAACTAATCGCGCAGCCGGATTTTATAGCGTGCATGCATGCGCGAAGAACACGGAATTACCAAGACTTAGAACGGGGATTAGAGAGGGAGTGCCTGCGTTCTGCATGATCAGGCCGCGGCGTGGGGGATGTAGCCCTTCTCCACGCATTGATCCGAGCATGCAAGCCGCGGCTTACAAAAATCACAGCAAAAGAAAGAGAGGGAGGGCGGGAGAGACAAAGTGCAAGAAGAAAGCCCGCCCAAAATTACAGTTACACACGCGATTAAGGGCGCCCACTAATCTGAATACCATTGCAGCCGCATGAAGAAGCGCATAGACAAAAGGCGCCGCGCGGCAGAAAAATCCTAATTACTGAAATCCTAAATTCCTATCTAATGCGAAAAAGTAAAAAGCACGAACTTCAGGGGGAAAGTCCRAAATTCCGAGAGCTATCGGGGCTCGACAAAATCCAAAAAGAGACTCAAAAGAAAAATTTAAAAAGAACGAAACAAATTCCCGCGCGATGTCCACGCCCAAGAGACCGAAATTGAACGGAAGAAACGACGTCAACATTTATTAGTCGCGCGAGCGGTGGCGCGCCATCCATCAGCCGACCAATCAATGAACCGGTCATCCCCGGACACACCCAGTTCCGAACCCAGCCATATGAAACGAAGCGACGAAAAAGACGCAAAAGCAAGGGCACTGATGCAATTTTTCACCGATCCCGATCTCCCGTAATTGGCCCAACCTTCCCAGCTTAGGACCCCTCGTTGCAACCGCGTAGAAAATTGCACGTTATAGAAAGTGGTTTGTCACATATGTGACGCCCAGGGGGTTCCAATATTAGCAAGCTCCTGCTTGCTTGTTGACACGTGTCGATTTCTCGTGCTGTCGCCGCGACACGCGTCCATTACCGCTGCATGAGTAATTAACCGGGAGGGGGAAAGGAAGGCGATACTCGTATGAGGGAGGGCGAGGTGGCTCCATCGTAAGTTCGGGTATGAAGCGCCCGATCGTGGTGAGGTCGTGGGGAAGATCTTGAAAGCGGACGATGCGATGGAAGCGGGGGAATCGCTGTCCGCTGCGGGGAAGGGAAGCGAGATAATCTGGGTAAAGGGAGACGAGGTTTCGGAGGACGTCGRTGCGAAACCGATCATGGTCTTCGCACGCGGGGAATTTCCCCGTGACGATGCAGTAAACTTCTATGTGGTTACGGCCTCGCCACGCGGCGCTAAGGAGTAGAACGTGGAGGGGGTAATCGGGGGCGGCGCACCGAACGGAAGGGTGGGGATGGACAGTCAGCTCTAGGCGGGCGGAGTAGAAATGTCGGAAGGTGGCGATGCGGAAGGGATTACGGGGGAAGACGACGCGATGAAGATACTGATTTAAGGAGAGATGGCTAAGGGGACGGTGGTATATGGATCGGGGACGAAGGACGAAGCCCCTCATCGACACGTTGACGAATTGGGGGACGAGCGGAGGCGGAGGGGGATGAGGATCGGGATCGGGGTCGGTGCCTTGTCGTCGTGGCGCTCGAGGTCGCGGCAGCAAGGTCCCCTTGTTCYGGCTTGGGCGGCTCGGGATCCTTGGAAGGATCGTTCGGTGTGGGGTCGATCACTGCCCGTTTTTCCTCCGCGACCTCCTTCTTGTGTTGCGCAGCGGCCTCAGGATTCTCCTCTCGACGATCTKGTTTCGGCACCCACTCGAGTTCGTCRTCGTGCGCTGGCTCCCGATCGTTTTCTCCGCTTTCCACTCCCTCGTCGTCGTCTTCGTCCTCCTCTTCCTCACTTTGCTCCCCCTCACTGTGCTCGCTATAGGCTTCCTCTTCTTCTTCTGAAATCTGCCCCTCTGGTTCTTCTTCTTCRTCGTCCTCGGCTTCCGCCGCCTCTTCTTCTACTTCGCATTCCTCTTCCTCGTCCTCGGCCAACCGGGCCGCTGCTTCTCCGGCCTCTCTCCCTAATTCTCCTTCYGATTCTTCTTCTGCTTCTTCCTCTGCTCTYAGTGCTGCCCACTCGAACACCGTTGGTYGCCGMAAGAAGAGGGGGTTAGTTAGGTTGTGGACGTCCAGGTAYTCGCTGCGARMTGGGAAACGRCCGTCCGCCCAGCGCTCCTCGATACAAGCCGACCACTGGAGGCTCGSGGCGAGAGTCTTTGAGAGGACATGCGGCACGGGCTCTTCGTCGCTCTKAGAGACGATATCGAGGGGGAGCTCGTCAGCCAGTCGCGCGATCACGATYGTAAGTTCATGCACGATCTRTGATCGGTATCCCCGATCCACAGCTCCAAAGACGAATCCGAGAAGGTCTCCCRCCACATTAGTTCCCCACRCCTGAATGACRAGCAACTCCACGGTTTYTGACGAGGGCCTCTTATCGCCTTCCCACGTCTAGTTCAGGTCCCCTCGTAGCAGGCAGAAYGAGAGCTCAACGAACTCTGCACRCCACAGCCTCCAACGATCCGGATCAACGATRGGTATTGYCGGAGGCTCCAGGCAGAAAGAGAGACGGGGGTAGTGAGAGGACTGCGAGAAGATGGGGAAGAGCCAGGGAGGGGAAAACGTTGAGATCGGCGCGCGGCTCATCTGCGMGGCTGGAAGGGGGCAAGCTCAGGGAGGACGACAGGTGGCTCGCACAACGTTGTGCGCAACRTGTTAGCCTCGATGCCGTTTCYWGGATAGCACTCGTCACCGTGCCTTGTGAGCCGTCGATCCCAATCAGTCGCCAGATCACGACCCCACTTGTACAAGGTGCTCTTGATGGCGGCTTGCCGCGCTGGATSGAAGGTGGTGATGTCGCCGCTAAGGACTACCACGGTAGACACGTGGCTAATACCCRGAGCTGCTCGCCGTTGGAACGCCGTTGCCTCGGCCAGCACCACCACRTGGGGATCGCCCGTGAACCGGAACTCTGCCGCGCCGTACACACCCGAGGTGCAGAAGAACTGCTCAAGGCGCAAGAAGTCGGGGCTGATCCGCGGATGATGCACTTGGCGGATGGCTGAGATCTCTCCCCGTGGCATCAGCAACTGATCACCGAAAGCCCGCTCGGTGGCGAAGCTCATGGCGATGGCGGAGGTGAAGGGGTGTCAGAGAAGGGGCAAGAGGAAGAGGGAGATGCCGGAGAGGTAAGATCGTTGCCGTCGGCTTCCTCTGAGGGGGAGGCCGATGAAGAGGGAGATGGAGTCGAGGGGAGGAGGCGAAGATAGGATACGTGGCGTGTGATTGGACGGGCCGATCGACTGCCAGAGACCTCGGGGGCGAGACGCACGGTGTCCACGCAGTTAGGCCCGAGCTCGATCACCCGATATCGCCCAAAGAATCGTGGTGCTAGCTTACCCTGGAGAGCACATTTCCTTACCTGCACTACGTCTCCCAATTTGTACTGGGGCCGCGGACCCGCATTCCCATTTCGGGCCTCGTAGCTTCRGACCTGTCGGCCTTGGGCTAGTTCGGTCATTTTCTGACGTTTTCAGGCTARCCTGGGCAGTGACCGTTCCATTAGCTTTAGGTGTCGGTTGGCCTCGTCCCGAGCCGYGGCCCTGGTGGGTTGTCGGCTCAATGTAGACTCATCTGGGAGGCTTGGTATCGAAATGCAAGCGACGCTATTGGTCCTTAATTGGAAGGRGCTTAACCTCGTTGATTCGTGGGGCGTTCCACAGTGGACCGCCAGGATGTGATCGACGATATCGGGCCAGGGCCTTGGATCCCGTGCCGCAATATTTCATCGCAATRCTGTCTTTATCACCCGGTTAGCGTTCTCGACCAGCCCATTGGATTGTGACATGTGGGGTGCAGTGTTCCGTATGGCGACGCCATGTAGGACCAGATTCCTTAGCACCTCTTCCTTGAATTCAGCCCCGTTGTCAGTTTGGATCTCTTCTGTATCTTGATGCATCCCGAGGAAACGGTTGTTGTATCTCGCGATCCCCGTGGCTTGCCATGTGCGACAAGGGTACGCCGCGATCCATTTTGAGATATGGTCGACAAATACCAATAGGACTGAATATTCGCAGCTATTAGGGCCAGGAGGTACCACTATGTCGGTAGTATCCATGCTGACTCTTTGAAACAGTCGTTCAACTACCGTGGGCATTATCGACCTTGGGGGCTGAATCGACGCTTTATCTGCGGCGCAGACTTGATAGTTGGCGACGATGTATTTGACATCGTCGCGGATATTGGGCCAGTACCACTCATTTTTGTCGATAGCGGACTCCGTGATTCGTACGGCAAAATGAGCCGCAGTTTCCTCGTGCGTTGTCTTAACCTAGTCATACCGCATGAATGGATGCGGCACAACCATCCAAATCCCACTACCGTCTGTTTTCCGTTTTTCTAATCTGCCCTCTATCCATCTGTAATCCCGAGCCCTCTCGTTGGCCCTCGTCCGATCTTCCTTGGTGAAATCCTGGAGGGGGTTGCCAACCAAGGTGGCAATTGAGGCAATATCAGTCCATACTTCGGCCCTTTTAAACTTCCGGGTCTTTTCCAACCCTTCTGACGTGGCATCCAAAAAGCGAGCCTCGGTCGGAATCTTGTCGGTCCGGCACAAGGGGCACAACCATGGTTTACTATCGTTTCTGTATTGGATGCACGAGCCGTGAGCTCGTGCGACACACTGTCTGCAATCTATCCAATCAACATACCCTTCCCCGTTAGGACACATGGAGACCGAGTAGACGCGGGAGATAGCTTCGCAAAAATAGCAAAATTTGTCAGCCAGGGAGAGGAGAGACAAGGAGGAAAGGGGAGAGAGAGGGGTAGTGGGGTTACCTCCGTCACCCATCGCCACCGTTTTACTTCTTGCCACGTGGGAGGTCTGCAGAGGGCTAGGGAGGCAGTAGCAGCAGCAGAGCATGTGGTAGCAGCGACAGCAGCAACGGTAAACGCAATGGCTATTTATGTTGCGACTCAAGGTCAGCAGATGTCAGGGACGTACTCTATGTCCTTTGTCTCTTCCATCGGGATAAGTGCAGGACCGTCTTCCAGTCAGATGGCAGGCTTGTAGTATAGCCAACCACCTCCACTCACTAGAGAGGCCTTAGATGCCCAACAAGCAGAGAGCATCCGCTTACAGTTAGAGAAAGAACTGAGAGATGCTACCGACAGAGCAAACGAAGCAAAATTGAGACAAGGTAAACTGGAGTGCAAGACCGCTTTAGAAGGGTTAGATGACTCGGTCCTTGATGACACTGGTGAAGTGTTCAAGGCGGGTATGCTGAGCATGTACGAGTACATGGACAGCAAATTGGATGATACCTAGTCAACCCTAAACCAGATACTGAGTGCCATGCAAAGGAAGCGAAGACCAGTTCCTTCCACAACAGGCGGGCCAAGTGTCAGGGCACAAGCAGTCCTCCCATTGTCGATTCCGTATCCAACAATGATAGACCCTTTTGTCCCTCAGTTTGGCTTCCCACCAGGTGGTATGTCAGCGGCAAGTGCACAGACTGCTGCTTCTTTATCTTCTAGTCCAGCGGCTGCAGCTGTAGGGAGTAGTCGATCCAACAATTTGTGAAACAACAGGTCCACGTTGGACCACAACAACAATGGTACCCAAAGGCCCCGTTGTCTCCCTTTCAGGTGATACGACGGAGGAGCACCTCAACACTTGGTTGAGGATCACACCAACGTGGGTATGTGCCAAGCGGACGTTGGCCGAAGAAAAGTGTTACTTGCAGCCTCTTACCTTAGAGGTTCAGCAACGCGATGGTTCAGTGGATTAGTTGCAACCCATGTCTTCGGTAGGAGGATGAATGATTGGGCAAGGATCCAAACTTTAGACTCGTTTTTTAAGTTGGTAGAGGAGTGGTGGCACAACCCTCAGCAGGCTCAGTAGACCATTCATGCGTTGGCCCGACTTGACACGAAGAAGTACAAGACCGTTCGTGACCTCACCGACGTCAGGGAGTTTGACAAACTTCGGCGGCAACTGAAAGAGCTTACAAAAAAGGTTGGATACGGCCTAACACATCTTCCTACCGATCGCCAGTCTTATTTGTGCCAAAGAAAGGGGGATCACTGAGGATGCGCATTGATTATAGAGACCTCAATGTCATCACAGTCAAAATGCAAAGCCTCTACCCCGCATTCACGACCTTTTGGATATGGTGCAAGAATGTAGCTACTTTTACCAAGATAAATTTAAAATCCGATTGTCATCAAATTGAGATTAGACCGGTGGATCAACACAAAACCACATTTCAGACTAGATACGACCTGTATGAGTTTGTGGTGATGCCTTTGGCCTTTGCAATGCACCGAGTAAATTTCGACATGCCATGAACTTGATATTTTATTAGTACATAGATAAGTTTATCGTCGTGAGAGTTCACCATCAACACACCTAAATAATTTGTTGGTGCACTCTCACGAGGGTGCAGGGGACGGGGTGCACAATAAGGTTTTGTTGTGGGTGCACTCTCACGACGAGCAGACTATTTAGGTGTGTTGATTATTGAGTTTGACCTATTTGATGAGCTGACTCGATGCACGGTGGATGCCTACAAGGAAGATCCCATTACGATGGACATCATCCTCAAGCTCGAGGCCAAATACAAGGCCACATCCGATGAGTTTGTGATGGTCGATGGGTTACTCTTTCTTGAAAAGGCAGGGTTCAAAAGATTGTGTACCGTCTTGAGATTCTTTGGGTAGTTTGTTTCTAGGAGAGTGTCAAGATGCAATGGGATATTTCGGGTACAAAAAGACTAGTGCTGGTACAACGTTTCAAGTGGCCGTCTATACTTGATGATGCGAAACTATATGCACAGACTTGTTAAGTCTGTTAGCGAGACAAGCCGAGAAATCAAACACCGCTTGGATTAATCAATCTCTTGCCCATTCCTTCATGTCCAAAGACACAACGTTTTCATGGATTTTATGGATACCCTTGTGACCAACAAGAATGGCAATAGACATTTCTGTCATAGTAGACCGGTTCACCAGTATGCTAGATGTTGTCATGCCAGAGACTGCAAAGACTTAGCATGTCATCAAATTATTCATGGATAATTGGGTGCATGCCCAAGTTAATAGTAAGTGACAGAGATGTCAATTTCACCAACAAAATGTGGAAAAAAGCGGCTGAACAGATGGGCAGCCAACTCCAAATGATTTCAGGTAATCATCCTGAAGCAAATGGTCAAGCGGACCAGATGAACCGGGTGGTACAACACCTGTCGAGGCACTGCATCAAGCCCATCGAGGATGACTAGGATGAGAAACTTCCTTTGATCGTCAGCCTGTGCAACAACGCAGTTCACAACACCACCGGTGTGTCTCTGAATGAGTGACATATGGGGTGTAAGCCTATATTAGCATTACACTTTCTCCTTCCTGAAAACCAATCAGTTGCAGCTCTTAGAACCATTGAATTTGGTGTCCTGGATGACAAGTTGTTGCCGTAGGCTGTTGAGCACATCAGAAAATCTCAAGAGGCTATGATGCCTCTGAGAACAGACATAGACGATAGTCCACATTTTAGGTAGGAGGACGAGTCTGGGTTAAGGCTAGAAACTAGGACAAGAGTTCGACATCTCTAAGAAGCTAATCCCTCCGTATTTTGGTCTTTGGGAGGTTTTGGATATATTGGGTAATGATTCGGATGGTCCCTCCTATAAGATTAAAATCCCTCGCCACCTGCACACTTACCCAGTCTTCCACACTTCAAAGCTCCCACCTGTTGCTGAGACTGACAAGTTCCCATCAAGGAGATCAATGCTTCCCCCGACCATGGATGGCCATGTGGACGTCAACAACATCCTGGAACATGGAGATCTGCCTGTTCCCAAGACTATGAGTAGAGGAAGACCACCGAAACCTACAAGAGAGTACCGTGTCATATTCAGGCATCCTATGGATCCAAAGGAAGATCGTTGGTTCATGAAAGATAAGCTTGTCAAGACAGCATCGCACTGACCTCAGGTCTTTGCAAAGTATGAACGCAAGTTGAAGGGGAAATCACCTGCGTAAAAGCATCTCAGCGGACTTTTGAAGCTAATGGGGATAGAATGCGAGGATTTAGCCCTCACATTGGCCACTCGGCTCCGACAACAAGATGCCCAAAGGGCCCCTAGAAAGCAAAGCACCCACCCTAAGCTAAGGCGGGCCAGTTTTCGACCTACGACCCTATTTTTGCCATTTCTGCGTAGTGGGTTGCTAGACAGTTACTACGTGCCCGTTGGTTACATAGGCCCTGCTGACGAGCATCAGAATCTTTGAAGAACCTTCTAGGCTCTTCCAAGCTTGGACGTGGAAGTTGGCCCCTT